ATTACGCCCTCGCAGTTCTTACAGATAATTACATAAAAGCGTACTACGTTTACCAGTAGATTATTAAAAGAATAGAATCGTCTAGAAGTAATTAATCATAGGTATATTGCACACGTTGACATTGTTAAGGAAAAGAGATGTCATTTCAAAGCACATCGAGTTCCTGTTGCGTTTCTTGGCAGACAAAACATTCTAGTCTTCGTATATTAATAATGTATGTCTGTAAATTTAGAAATATTGGGTTACTGTTTCTTTAAAAAGGTTGTCTGATGAAACTGTAAAGGCAGGAACGAGCGGTACCTTGGGTATTCTTCGTTTTCAAGTTACGTCACAGCGGCCATCTTGGAGGAACTTCAACAAGGATTTCTCATTAGTATCTATTGTTCATTCCTCCAACATGGCCGCCATTTTTTTTATCTTTTGAACCTCATGGGAATGGTTGAAAACGATCAATTCTGACTGCATTCGAAACCAGTACATTAATTCTACTTTAATCAACTCTAAAATTGACTATATATATGATATCAAAGAGGCAAGATTTTGCTGTAACTCCGAGTTTCGTGCTACGCACTCATCAGACAGTATTTAAGATTTTGCTGTAACTCCGAGTTTCGTGCTACGCACTCATCAGACAGTATTATTGACTATTGACTATTATATTCAAAATTTTATCTAAAACATATAAATACATTAAAATCTCTAGCACTAATATACAGCGAAGGAAGTTTTTCAGACAGTGTTGCGAAGCTCACTTATATTTTTGCCCGAAAATACATCGTTTTCATGTGCGCGCGCGCGATATTTTTGAAAGTGCCTTTGTATTTCAATTATGGAGTTGCGGCTTCCGGGATAAAGGAATGCAAATTAACCAAACGATAAAAAAGCTATTCGAACTTTTATCAAAATATAAATCCCATTAAAACCTTCAGCGCTAATATAAAGAGAGGGAAACTTTTCTGGCAGTGTATGTCAGTTAATATATAGTGTGGCGGCTTCCGGAACACAAAGAAATGGCCGACTTGCGAATTTTGCCTAGGTAATCACACATAAAAGAATCAAGACGAGGAGCCGTGCATAAAACTCAGTCATTCGTAAAAACACAATAGTTTTTCACGATTGACTGAGCTTTACGCACAGCGCCTCGTCTTGATTCTTTGTTTGACAACTGAGGCGAAATTCGCAAATCGGCTATTCAAATCGAGCGCTAGACTGGCTGCCATAACGTTCGCTTCTCATTGGAATATTATATTTCTTTTTCTTTTCTCTTTCTTACTAAAACTTATTATTATTCTGGACTGAAATGTTAATCATTCATAATAGACATCTTCTGAATTGCTGAATAAAAGCACTAGAAGTTAGTCCATAAAAACAATTGATATATATTAAATTGTCCGCCATTTTTTCGATTCGGTTCATATTGTTAAGTATTTTAGGTGTAGATTTGTTTTTGGTTAAAAGCAGAAAGTATGCTTACAAGTGTCGGCAATTTTAGCAAAGGTTCTATTAAAGTAAATGAAAGAAATAGAGTGCAAGGCACTAAAACCATGAAACACTGAATTAAATATTGTTAAAAAATTAAATATTGTTAAATTGTACTAAATCATGCAAATTCCTTTGTTTTCTGTTGTATAATGTTACTATATTTATCCCTACTTGGCTAGTACTTTTTCATTCTTTCATTTTTTTAAACTCTAGCATAGAAAAAAATGATTATAACGCTGGCAACGAGCAAGTGTTTGTTGAGGAAATTTATGCAGACTAATGTCGGTTTTTTATCCGACAAGGCCGTAGGCTAGGGCGGCTAACAACCTTAAAGGCTTTTACCATCCTTCTTATCATATGATATCCTAATCGAATAATTGCTTTCTTATTCATTGGGACAAATATTATTCGGAAAAACATGTTTTTTTTATTTAGGAGTAGATTATTGCTCACTTAAAAGACTTAAAAGCACTACAAATCCAGTAGCTTTTTCATATAACAAAAAGACATGTC